GTATATATAGGTGATTTACATCGCAATTTTAATTTAGTGCTAGCTAATTCAACTAGAAGGGCTCAGAAAAATGACTAAATAAGGGAACAAAAGAAAAGGGAAAAATTTAAGTCTTGATTTATCCAGGAAGCCATCTCCTGTTCAATCTAGGAAACACACACACACACACACACACACACACACACACACACACATACATACATATACACATACACACATGCACATACACTTTCCCTCTCTCTTCCCTGCTTTATTTTTCTGCTTAGCAGTTATTACTATCTAATATATTGCATATGATATTAATTTACCTTGCTTAGTGACCATCTCACCTACTAGAATATAGGCTACATGTATCAGGGAGGTTTTTTGGTCTGCTTTGGTCATGGCTGTGTCCCCTGCACCCAGAAGAATACTGGCAGATTCGTTGGGAACATTTGTGCAATTATGTGGAGGAATGAATGAACAAATGAATGAGTGAACGAACCTAAGCTACAGTTACTAAAGGTTAACTTACATGCTTGCCTTAGACTCTAATTCCCTGTAAGATATAACTACATTTCCCTCCTGTCTGTCCCTCCCCTGCCTCTCTCTCACACTCACTCGCTTTTTTATGTGGCTGTGGTCAGATTATATCTCTTTCGTATCTAACTTTCCTCACCTAAAATTATAGATAGATAGATAGATAGAGCAAATATTTTTTCTCATCCTAAAATACTACAACCTCATTAAACGAAAATGTGGAAATAATAACTGATAATTTAAAAGAAAAAAAATTCATAGACCCACCCAGACAGAACAATCACTAACATTTGGTATCTTGCCTATTTGCTCATTATTTTCAGAATATAAGTTTTAAATGACCTATGGTCATATTATAGATAGAGTTTTTTATACTATGTTTTTAGCAGCCCTGAAATGTCATTGCATGAACAATTTAATGAGACACATAAAATTGACATGTCATTTCCTTATTTCAATAGATAGAGAGATGTCAGTCTTTTATAATGTTGCATTGCAAATGTAGACTTTTGTATAGAACTTTTTCTAACTTTGGGATTAAGGAAATGACCTTTGCATGGCCCCCGTGCCACCCCTTACCATCCTGCCATAGCCTTCTTCATTCCCTCACCCCCCGGCTGATGTAATTTATGGCTCTGGCTTCTTATTTGTTTGAAGCCAGTCCCTTAAGGGGTGACCTCCCAGTGTCTTCAATTATTATTTTAAATGATGCCTTAGGCTACTGCCTGGCACAGCGGTGCCCTCACCTTCCCGCCTTCTGCCTTCCAAGCATGGAGCTCAGCTGCCAAGCTGGCTGTGCCCCCTCCCGTCCTCAGAGCTGCCTCTAGAGTGCTAGCAGAGAGACAGATTAACCCCTTTTGTTAGCCGAGGTAATTTGCCTGGGCTCAGCATTAATACGGAATGCCATAAGCAGTTGGGGTCAAGAAGAACAGATCTGTCAAGCCCCAGGGTTAATTTAATAGCAATCTGTTGGCTGTCTGCCCTGTATATTATCCGTGAATCCAATGCTATGTTTTGCTTTTGCCATTTAGTTCTTTGGAACAACAGGGAAATAATTTGGATAGAGAGCTCTAAAGGATAGGGAAGAGAAAATTGACTGTCAAAATGCATCATTCCATTTTCAAGATAACACAGGGAGCTGTGCATTGCTCGTCGCCTTTCTCCTTCCTTCCCAACATGAAGGGCAAAACCACATGGACTGAAGGCGCGTGTCTCCCCTTTACAACAGTTAAGGCAAAAGGCTTGGGCTTGCAGATGATGCAGATGTGAAATACGCTCTCTCATCTTCCCCATAAGCCATTGAATTTTTGATACTTAGACTCCTCCCAAAAGTTTCTAGAACTCAGCAAATTCTCCACCAGATAACAACTCCAGAAATCCCTTATCATGTTTCTGTCCCAACTTCAGGTTCAAAAGAAAAAAATATATATATATATCACATCCTAGGACACACAAATCCTAGGTCAGATGCTGTGTCCCCACTGTGGTTCTAAAATATGTGGTCCCCAGAGTGGGTTGTGAATTAAGAGAGCACAGGCCCAAAGCAGAAGAGAGGGAGCCTCCTCTTTGATTAGCGGGTGCCACGAGAACCAGAATGCCCACGCCCAGCAGGGCTGGCTCTGTGAAGGCCCCTGCGCAGAGAGGGGAGTGGCCTGTGATCAGGAACCCAGGCTCTGGAGTTGGACAAACTTGGGTTCAAAGCCCAGCTCTGCCCCCTACTGGTCATATGACCTTAAGTAATTTAACTCAGTCACTATTTCCTCTGCAGGAAAATGGGCCAGTGAATCATACTAACCTCATAAGGCTGAGATGAAGGTCAAATAAGACGGTACCTGGCACTTGATAAACATGCACTGCTGGCTATTATTCTCCCCCTCGTCCTTATCATCATGGTTATTAAAAAGAGGAGTCGAGTCTGTTTATCCCCTAACCCAGAGAGTCAGACCCAAACAAGCACTCTAGTCCAAAGGGAGGTGCTTCAGGATGAGGGGTGATGGGCAGACTCAGAGGTCCAGGATGGATGGGAGGGAAGATGGCTCCAGAGGCAGCAGCCCAACGCAGACCCTGTGGGCACCTCCCATCAAGACGGTGTTCTTGATAATGATGGATGTTGCTGGTTTCACGGATATGTTTCAGCACTTCATTTTCAAACATTCTGACTTGGGGGCTTTATTTTTAGGTAAGAAAAAAATAACTGTAGATGTGGCACCTTTCCTCCCACACAGCAAAGCTCCCTTCCAGTTAATCTTGTTTGTAGAGCTATACTGGTAGAGGTTGAGACAGCTGACACCAGATTTTTCTTGCCCTATTTTGGGAAAAGAGAAACTTGCTCACTGGCACAGTAGGGTATGGAGGTTCTTTCTGGAGGGTAATGCAATATGACAACAGCTGATCACTGACTCCAGCCCGTGTCACGTCCACCAGCCCAGGGCTCGGTCAGGGGCTGGCGAGAACATCCCAGCTGCAGCCTGGGGCCTCCTCCCGGGGGCCCGGGCTCTCACTTCCCAGCGTGTAGTGCTAACTGCAATCATATTTATGACACTGGCAGCAGTTGAAAGGTAGTATTTTGTGAATCTAGGGGACCCACATGCTCTGGAGACCCAAGTAATATTTGCATCTGGGTTTCATGGGGGAAACTATAGTAAAATGTTAGTTCAGTCTCAGGATAATTTTAGAAAGAACACAACAGGGTTTAGAGGAGATAATTGAAGGGGAAAGCAGAACAGCCAAATACAAAGCCCTTATTACAACAAAGTCCATGCAGGAATAGTTGTAGCAAGAGCAACGGTGATGTTTTGTACTAGATGAATGCTTTGGTGTGTTGTCGTCACTAAAAATACCAGTGCATTTACTCATATCTCATCTAAACTCTAAGGAGAGGACTATTCTACTAACTTCAGGAAAAGTATAGAAGACTTTCACCCATCCCAGTATAATAGGATAGTCTGTATGAAGTTACTGCCTGTTGATTCAATGCAGTGTTTTCCAGAATGGGTACATAAATTCCTGGCTCACACAAAAATGTTTTTGTTTTGTTATGCATTTATTTTCATATATATTGTTAAAATGTAGCTCTAGCTAGCTCATTACACCCATGATTTTATGAATATTGGATTACTGCATAGACAAGGCTAAGTAAAGAAAAAGCGAGTCGATTTAAGTTGTTCTGAAGAAAAAAATGTGACGTAAAAAATACTATCTGATGATTGATATACAAGTGGGGTAGTTATCGCAAAGGTGGCTGAAAAGTGGTGAAGTCTAGGAAAAGATCAATTAGGTCACCTTTCCCATGTTACGGCATACACATCATAAGGACTATTCCTTTGCAGGAAGTTGCTGGGTCTCAGACAGCATCTCTGCCCCAGCCAGGTGCCTCCCAACCTGCACCCAGGCCCTCTGAGCTCTCTGTTGGGGTATGAAAGGCTCAGCCCAAACCCATGGCCTCATACGTACCAGACACTCTACTGAATGAAAGACCAAATGTTTCACTTCAGTATACAAGGATGTGGTCTTTAAAAATAGAGGTATAATAATTCTTGATCAGAAAGGAAAATACTGAGAAAAGTAAAAAAACAGATGATAAAACTAAGGGTATATATTCCATAGGAGGCTAAAACGGTCTCGCCGTAAAACTGGGTGTTCTTTCAGATACTTAAACTCACGCACACGCTCTAAGGTAAATTACAGCTTATGGAGACGAGCTTCTGCTTATCTTCAATCAGAGAAATTTTGCGTAGTGACTGAAGAACACAAATTTTGTGGCTGGGATAAAATCCTAGTGCTACCATTCTTTAGCCATGTGACTCGGGGCAAGTTGCTTTACTTTGAGCCTCTGTTTGCACCCCTGAAAAATGGGAATAAGTGCTGATTATAGAGCTGTGGTTATAAGGGTTAAGTGAGATAAAGTACCTGATGTGCTTTGCACAGTGATTGCACAGTCAGTGCTCAATAAATGGTAGCAGCTATCATCATCATCATCATCAACATATTATTAAAGATCTCGGGAATTTCATGGAAGAGGATTTACAGTCTATCGTAGGTATCATTTATCAGCCCAGAAGCGGGGGTAAAGATTCAAGTAAATTGAATTATTTAGTTGGAACGGGACTAGTTTGTTAACCACTGTTGTAAAACGAGAAATGAAAGTCTCTGCAACTTGGCACATTTTTAGCACAATTGCATGAGCAGGTCATTTTGATGGTGAATGGGACAGCTACATGTCATGGAGGACGAAATACTGAAAAGAGGCCAGGAAGACCCGTGTTCCAATGCTTCCTCTGATCCCTGGGAACCTGGGCCTCATCTGCCCGGGACCAATAGTACGTACCTGTTTGCTCACAGAGTGATTACGAGGCCTTACTATGTGTGGTAAATGCTAACATGTTATGCTAACATGAGGCGGTGCCATTACTAATCACCCCGAGTTTCTGCCCCCGCTCTTCCTGGTCCATCCCCTCTGGTCCTTGACTCACCTGTGCCAGATATCGTTGACATCAAGCCAGCCAACATGGAGGAGCTCACGGAGGTGATCACAGCAGCCGAGTTCCACCCCCATCACTGCAACACCTTCGTGTACAGCAGCAGCAAAGGGACAATCCGGCTGTGTGACATGAGGGCGTCGGCCCTGTGTGACAGGCACACCAAATGTGAGTAGCAGGCAGCCCAGAGCTGAGGTGGGTGGGTGGGCCACTGGCCCCTGGCGTGCGGGAGGAGAATTGGAGATCCTGAAGGGTGTTGATCTCCGTTCACACATTAGACACAGTGGAAGGAAAGCAACTGCAAGTGTCAGCGCGACTCGGGAGTCCGCTTCACGTTGGGCATTTCGATCAAGATGAAACCTCACATTCAATTCCATAAACATTCACTTCGGGCTGTGGAATATGGAGATGAATAAGACATGAGCCTTGTCACATAACATTGTGACATAATCTGAATTATGTTTTAAGATCACTCTTGCGGCTGTGGAGAAAAGGAACCCGAGGAGTAAAAGGGAAGACCAGTTAGGGGATTGCTGGGCTGTCCAGGCAGGGGGTGAGCGTGGCCTGGACAGGGGCGATGATGTGGCAATGGACAGGAGTGGGTGGGTTCTGGGCAGATCTTGGCAGTAGAGCTAACAGGACTTGCTTTGCTGGACTGTGCGGGACGCTGGGAAGATACAGAGACTCAAGAATGGCAGCTGGAGATGGTGACTAACGTCATATAATGTTCTATGTCAATTATGCATATAGCTCAATTAAAAAAAAAAAAGGAATAGTAGCTGGGGGAGGGGTTAGTGGCTTCTTGGAGACCTAGGTTGTGGCTTTGGGAAACTAGCACGCTAAAAGTCCCAATGGTTCTGGGGGGCACCGAGGAAAAGCTTCAGAGAGAGGGGTGGGGGTAAAGGGCAGCCAGATGCCCAGGCCCTCGTGTCAAGCTGGAGTTTGCAGAACGTGGACAGAGCAAAGCAGCTCCAAACCAGTGGGGGCTGAGTGCTTGGAGGCCGGATACTGAGGCCGATGTCAGCAGGTGAAGGAAGGATCAGCGGGCACTGACGGTGAGTGCTGTGGTGGGTAGGCTGGGCCTGGAGCCAGCAGGAGGGCTTTCTGGAAAAGAAACTGCTCCCTAGGTAAAGGTACCTGGAAGGCAGTGGCCATCCATGTCCAGTGTCGGGCCACATCATGGGCAGCTGTTCACGAGCGACCACAGCTGGATTTGTCCAGCCAGTGCCTTCTGTGAGGTCCCGTCTGGCCACTGCAGTTTGCCGTGGAGAGCCAGACATGAAGACCTTATCTCTCACAGACACAGTGTTCAGTTTCAGTTCCTATGTGACCGCAGTGACAGGACGACTCTTTGTGTCGGTGTATGGCTAGCAGAGGGGTGCATGTCTGGGTCACTTTGATCATTTTTGGTTGCTCACTTGCTGTAAGATGTATTACACGGGGCAGCTTGTATGTACAGATAGTGCTGTGTAGAGTGTGTGGATTTTAGAGTCCCACAGACCCAGGTCAAAGCCAGACTTCACTCCTGATTAGCTGCCTGACTTTGCCCAACTTTCCTTAACCTTTCTGAGCCTCAGTTTTTTCATATGTAAAATGGGTAAAATAATAACAGCAACCTCGTGGGTTTGTCAATGGGACCTCAATGCGATAACTAGTGGGTTGTTGGAAAAGTCATGACATATTTTTTCTATGTTTTTCATTACAAAAATGCATCATGACTTTTCCGACAACCCAATATTAAGAATTGTTAATGAAGTATTTTACTTTTTTTTTATACAGTCTTTAAAACATGATGTGTATTTTACACTTACAGCAGATTTCAGTTCAGATTATCTCCATTCCAAGTACTCAATAGCTAATAGCCCCCGTATTAGTGCAGATTTAAGACATTTCCATCACTGCAGAAAGTTCTGGAGAGCATGGGTTTAGACCATCAGCTCTGTGAGGGCATGGACTTAATTCTGTTTTGCTCACAGCTGTTTCCCCAGCACCTAAAATAATACGTAGTCCATGATAGATGCTTAATAAATATTTGCTGATGTGTATGCTGGTATTGATCTTTGAGCAGTACTTACTTATAAGCCAACAAGTGTTCAAGGCAGAGTGATCAGCATGTGCAAAGGTACTGGGGCACGAACGATCATAATGTTTTTGGGTCTGCAAGGTGACTGATATGACTGGTATGTAGAGAATAACGTGGAGAAGGAAAAGCGTTGAAACTCAGGAGAAATGCAGGAGCTTGGTCATAATGGCCATGAAAAAGAACTTGACATTTGTTCGCAAAGTCAGTGAACAGCCACTGAAGTTACAAGGGGGATAATATGATTAGAATTCGTTTTTAGAGAAGTTACTTAGACTGAAGGTAGAAGGACGGAGGTTGGGTTCTGACTGGGAGAGTAAAGAGACAGGGAAAGAAGTTAGGAAGATACTGTGATATACACAGGATTTCTTAACAGCAGCTCTGTTGAATTTGGGGCACACGGTGCTTTGGGGAGGAGGCTGTCCTTGGAGGGTGTTTAACAGCATCCCTTGCCTCTGCCCACGAGATGCGAGTAGCAAAGGTAAGTGTGACAACCAAAAACGTCTCCAGACATTCTGAAATATCCCCCGGGAGAAAAATTGCTCCCAGTTGAGAACCACAGATCTAGACTCCAATTCACTGTCCATTCTTCAGCATGATTTTCTTGTACCTGTGATACTACTACTATTACTACTAAGAACTGTGAGGGGTGCAATGGCCAGGTAAGACCTGTACTTTAAGTTTTGGCTGATGACCTAAGATGTCCCCAGGAAACATTTCAGGAACAAAGTACCAGGCAGTGGGTATGTCAATCCCCAAATGAGTGGTGGAGACGATTAAGGATTGGGATGTTCATAGGAGGGCAGGGCTCTTGGGATAGACCTCACAGGGAAGGCAGAGGCTGAGGGAGTAGCAGTGCTGAAGCACAAGTCAGATTTGGTCAGACGGGAAACAGAGAGAAGGGCATCTCTGGCAGTGCACACAGAATGGACTAAAGTTAGGCAGTTACGTGCTTGGAACCTTTAAAGAGTCTTAGAACTGTGTGGCTTCACTGAAAGGAGAAGAGTGAAGACATGAGGTCAGATAGGGAGGATGGTTCGTATCAGGTTGGTCCTTGAATATCAAAGTTAAAAGATTATGCCTTCCTGTATTCATCCACTCATTTCTTTCTTCATTCATCATTCATTGAGTACCTATTCTACACCCAGAGTCTGGCTCCTATAGTAGCCAGTCCTTAAACTTGTCCACCACGTACAGCACTCCCGAGGCCAAACGTGAGTCTTGCTGCCATGGAGGAAGGGCACCCAGAGGCAGTCCCGCCTCTCTGAGGTGCTCTGGGTGGCTGGCCTGTTGGCAAGGGCAGAACAGCCTGCGCCTGGCAGAGGCCAAAGACCCTGGGGACAGTGCTGATCACAAAAGATTTTCTCTGAAGTCTCATATTTCTATCTTGAAATTTCACGTGAATTTTGCACTTTATTCCCATAAAATGTTTACTTTCAGTTTTTACTTTAAAAACTACATTTCTACCCATCCCAAAATCTCAAGCAACGTTCGTGTCCCCCAAAGATGCAGCTTTTATCCTCTGGCTTCGTATGCCGTCTCGTGTACCCTATATCCTCCTCCTCCCTGACCTCCAAGCATACATTCCTGTGCCCCAGTTCCTAGTATATGGAGAGCCATTGGAGATCATTTGGCTGGAGAACAGTTATAGAATTCCTGTTTTTATGGAAGATGAACACAGTGGTCATGGGAAGAAACTGGAGAATTAGAAGGCTTTGCTTTAAACTCATACGATGGAAACGTGTAACCTAGCTAAGGATGGTAGCTATGGAAATTGAAAGGAAGGTAAAGGAAAGACGAACATGTTCCTTTAAGGTAACTATGGGTGATGTGAGTGCTATTAGAGATTGGCATCATCACACGTGGATATTAGTTGTTCCATGTCCTTCCCCTCTAGAACGTAAACCCTCTAAAGGTAAGAACTGAATCTGTTTTGCGCACGTCGTATTACCAAGGCCTGACACCTAAGTAGGTGCTCAGTAAGTGTTTATTCAATAGATAAGTTTGTGCCTGAGGGTGGACATGACAGCTTGTGGAATGGGGACTAATAAGCCATAGTAGAGGAGCATGAAGGCTTGGCGTTCGGATTGGGACATGCTGTCTGCGAGGTGACGTGAGCTGTCTAAGGAGACAGGGCCTCTCTGCTGTGTGAAGGCAGAACCAGGCGTGAAGGGCCACCAACCCAAAGTGGATGCCAGAGATGGCATGAGAAGCCCTGTGTGCTCACAGCCAGGGTGACAGACACCAGCCTGGGCTTTAAGGTCAGAGAGACCCATGCAAGTTCCGGATTCTTGAGGAATAGGCTGAATGGGAGGCTTGATGAACCCTCAACTCAAGATGGAAAAAGGACAAGACCTTAGAAATTTCCAGAACTAGAATGGTTTAGAGTAGATGCTTCGGAATCAGAAATCTGACACTCGGTGTCTGTGTGACCTCAGACAAGCTATTTAATCCCCTCTAAGCCCCAGATTCCTCACTGGAAAGTAGAAATAATGAAGACAGCCTAATAGGGCTGGCTGTTCATGAGAAGTCAATGCCGTCATGTGGGGAGTGCCTAGCACTCTGCCGGGCACACAGGAATCAATAGATGGCAACAGTGATCACAGGTATTCCTCCTGCACTCCCGCTGTTCTAGGCCTGCAGCTATAATAAGGTCCTTGAAATCCCACCCCTTTTTCCAGATATATGAAACCCAATTATTCATTTATTTAATTAATATTTGTTGACCACATGCTCTGTGTCAGCTACTGTACCAGGCTCTGGGGCCATAACAGTGAGCAAAATCAGACTTGGTTTCCTCCCTCTGAGAGCTCCCTGTCTATATTAGTGAGGGCTCTCCAGAGGCACAGAACCAATAGGAGATATACCAGGGGGTGCCAAAAAAAAAAAATGTATACACATTTTAAGAGATGTTGCCTATGCTCAAGCAGTAGTTCGCCATCATCAGAAGTGTCTGGACACTGATGGTAAACGTTTTGAGCACCTCTTGTAACTGCAGAAGTCAAACGTGACTTGGAGTCGTCTTTTGTTATCAGTATATATTGAGTATTACAATGAATGCGGTTTTTTCCTTTTTTTTAAATGTGTATACATTTTTTGGCGCCCTCTGTATATCTCATCCACATATGCACATACGTGTGTACATGAGAGATGTATTATAAATATTTGGCTCATGTGATTATGGAGGCCAGCAAGTCCCCAGATCTGCAGTGGGACTGCAGGAGACCCAATGGTATCATTCCAATCTAAATCTGAAGGCCCGAGACCTAGGAAAACCTGTGATGTAGTTCTCGTCCAAAGGCCAGCAGACTCGTGACCCAGGAAAAGCCAGTGTTTTCGTTTGAGTGTGAAGGCAGGAAAAAAATTGATGCCCCAACTCAAAAGAGTCAGCCAGAGGTATCCCCTCTGATTTGGGGAGGGTCAGCCTTTTTGTTCTATTCAGGCCTTCAACTGATTGGATGAGGCCCACCCACACTCAGTCTGTCAGTTTAAATGTTAAACGTATCCAGAAACACATAGAAACACCCAGAATATTGTTTGATCAAACATCTGAGCACGCCATGGCCCAGTCAAGTTGATGCACAAAGTTAACCATCACACCGTCTAAGGAGGAAGGATGCAATAGTCAGAGAATCACAAACATACAGGACATTGCAACGATAATAAGTGGTATGAAACAGAGGCACATGCTGCTACAAGGGGATGTGACAAGGACTTTACAACCCAAGGCAGTGACCACTGACTGTGACCTAAAGACTGAAAAGTTACATGGGGAGAGAACAGGAAGAGTCATCAGGCCCAAAGAAGTGGGAGGCCTGCCAAGCCGCACGCCCAGGGACATCCAGAGGCTGCTCCTGCCTCCAGCCTGGGTCCCACTCATCCTTAGAGTAGCAAACCCCGGGGGGCGGGGGGGTGGAATCCCCAGGGAGACCCAGGAGTTTGCTAGCGGCCTACAGGCCTCTGCTGCAGCCCTGCCCCCCCACACCCTGTCCCAACACCAGCAGTTCTCTGAATCGCCAGCCGTCAGCCTCCTAATCTAATTAAAAAGTGAATGAAATTCATTTTTCTGACTCGTCCAAAGTGCCGACCTTCTTCGGCACACATCTCCCTTTGTTCAGCCTGCTGCAGCCACGGCCCCCAGCTCCTGCCAGCCGGGAAAACAAGTTCAATCTGACCTCTCGCCTGACATTTCATATTGATTTTCTCCATCCTCCTCAAACACCAGCCTCCCGTCGACCACGGTTCAGCCGAGGTGTGCGCACGGAATTGAGACAGTTCATC